ATCTTAAAAATACAAGTTCGAATGTGTGTGTGTGTGTGTGTGTTTTATTATTTTATTATTTATTAAAACCTTTTATGAATGTGTGTGTGTGTGTGTTTTTTTTTTTTTTTTTTCATGAACACCAAAAATAATTGATATGATTAATAGCAATAGTATGAAAGTTAACCAGCATAAACATTATTATTATTATTATTATAATTGAAAAAAAGAGAGATGTAGTTATGTATAATAAATTGTTGTAGTATATTAATATATGAATATGATGATATGTATGTTACCAGCAATGGTACAGAGAAGCCAGGATGGTTTGTTGAAGCTTCTTCTTCTCCTATGTTGATTTGAGTTTGAGCCCACCATTTTTCCCCACCACCTATTATTATTATTGTATTTTCTCAGAGTCTTTCTTTGCCACCAACCATATATATATATATCTCTGCAGAGACAATTCAAATTAATCAATAATTTTATACTAGCACATTTAAAACAACACAAACATTATAATATTCACATGAGTTAACTAACATGCTTAATCTGTAGGGGCACAAACAAACAACCATGTAAAATTACTTGGACATGTATATGATGACGATGATGATGATGATGATGACCATATATATATAAATCTAAATTAATTAATTAATTACTTGAAAATAAAAACACATGATTTCCAGCTCATAATGTTAATACGAAATATAACAAAGAAAGAAAGATCACCTTTTATTCTTGGCTCTGGTCTTTGCAGTTGAGTAGACGCCCAGCCCAGCCCAGCCCAGCCCAGCCCAGCTCAGTGGACTGACTGGAGATTGTGTAAATACTTTATTTTTATTTTTTATTTTATTTTTTATTTTTTTTTTGGTGCTGCTTAGTATAATAAAAACAGGGTAGATCAGGAGAGCTCAAGACTGAGAACCGAGTTTATTAGAGGAGGAAGGAGAAACTGAGCGCCAGAAATGATTTGATTGTTGGCCAATAAAAGGATGACACGTAGTCATATACAACGTACAACATTTAATACACTAGGCCCGCCTAGGTTATTGGGAAACTAAAGAGAAAGAAAATATTATTGCACTCTTAAAATATTTTCTTTCATCTATTATGCACAGTTGATATGCTATTTTCATTTTTTGTTTGGATATTCAAAATTTATCTCATACAAAATAAAATTAAAAAATTAAAAATTATATTTTTTTTTTTATTCAAGCTCTTCATTGATTTTTGTTGTTATAATTTGTTTTGTTTTTGAGGTTCAGACTTCTATGCGGGATAACAAGTTTATAACCCAAATACTAATTCAAAGTGTTAATTAGGAGCGTTTTTGTATACAAAAAAAATTACGTTCAAAATGAGATTTTTTGGTTAATCAGAGTTAATTTTGAAAAAAAAAAAAGTGATATGCTTACTTGTTAGTGAATTTTGATTTTATATTAAAATAATTAAAATTAATTTGATGTAAATGTATGAGAAAGAATATATAAAGTGATAGTTAGTTAAAATTATGTGAATTGATGAATAATAAATTAAAGTTGATGTAATGTGTAAGAATGATAATTGATATTATTGAATTATATTGATAATATTGAAAATAGTGGAGTTAAATTAAAACTGAATTAAATTTTGAGTATGAACTAAGTGTGGAGTGAGTTTTTTTTTTTTTATAAAAACATACCCTACACATTTATTTTAACTAATAATGGAATTTTAAAATATAATACCATTAACTGACTTATAATTTTAATATTATATGTATACAAATAACTTATAATACTTTATTCAACTTGTAATATTTTATTTACATATATGCAAATACACATTGTCAAAGACTAGTGTTTATTAATCATGCATATCACTTATGCCAAAGTAAATTATATAGATCTCTAACAATCTATTACAAGAAAGCATCAGAGAATCTGCTGTTAAGGCTTCATCCTACAAGAGTTGATCAATGATAAATTAATAATACAATCACTGAACCATCCAACATTACACAGTTACAGCTTCAATCCCAGACAATAATAAAATCTCAGGTGCAATACCCAAACCGTGATTGATCCTAATAACTTGAGGGAAAAAAGAGAACGAGGGAAGATAAAAAAGAGTGTAATAACGGTCACCGATAGTGATACTACTCTGAGGCGGCCCCATATTTGCATTTAACTCGGCCCCCTTCTAAAAGCCTCTCCACAGCATTTGAAGGTAGGCCAATAAGCTCAAGCGTTTTTTCCCATACTCTATAAGAAGTCTCAAGATTGTGTGCCTCCTCGGAAGGATTTGCTGGCCGGCAATCATGATTAATGAAAGCACAAACCGGCCAATCTTCTGCTTTTAGAGACTCACAGTAATCCACAAGTTGGGGATCGGTGGCTGCGAATAGTGTGCTTCTGGAGCCTGCAAACAGCAACAGAAATGCAACAGATGAATCTTCATATCATACACACTCTACAAAGAAATTAAATTAGACTGAGCTAGTAGTGTCCCCATTTGTAAAAATTTAAGGTCTGTTACCTTCTTCAGGACTGAAAATAAAATATGGAATTAAACCGTAACCAGCTTGAACAATCTTTGGGAGATCCCTCGCCTGCATTCATGAAATCAAAAGAGTTGGACGTGAATTGGGACAAATTTTGAAGTGACCAGACTATTATTAAATAATAGAGGATGTTATAATAATTTCAAATTACGTGGTGATCAAATATTTGGTTGCTTCAAACAGGTTGGACACTTACAACGTTAGTGTGTACTATTCCAGGAGAAACACAAACTACATTTATGCCAGCTTCGGTTGGCAGTCTCTTGTTAAGGACAGTGCTGAACATGATCTGGGTGTTCAGTGAACAAGAGGGCGTTAATAAGAAGGGAAACATTTATGACGTACAAGTCTTTAAGTGAAAAAAACTTCAACCTATTCAAACAGAGCTTAGTTTATTGAGATTTCAGAATAAGTTAAGGCCCACATGAAGATGAACAAACAGTTACACTGAAATGAAAGTTAGAGCAAGACTTGGGTGCACCTGAGCCAGTTTGCTGTTTGAATAGCCCACCATACTCGAAAATTTTCTTTTCCCAGAGGTAATATTCATATCATCAGGATCAACAAATCCTAAACTATGCATCTGAGAATCACAAAACTGATAAATTCACTGGAAGCATAGCAGCAGCTGGAGAAGAAATTAAATACCAAACACATAAGTAAATACATCTACCCAGGGTTCAAGTAGTATAAAACTTACAATGGTTAAGCTGAAAAAATGAGTTTAATAAATGCTAATAACATACCCGAGAATAAAGTTCATATTCCTTCTCTAACTTGCAAGCAACTAGCTGCAAGCTTGGAGCTTAATTTGATTTATGCATAAAACAAATATTTGGACCCGCAAAATGTCTACATTCTTTCCATCAGATGACAAACTTACTAAACCTTCAACCTAGAAGGACATCACCAGTTAATCTGTGTGTGTGTGTGTGTGCATATCACCACATATGCACACACACACACACACACAGAGTCACACACACACACACCTTTCCTCTTCATTATTGTTTGCATAAACATCAATCATCAGTTCCTTTTACATCAGATTATAAACAAAAGTGATGAAGAAGGTTGTTATATATTTCTGTAGGAAATCCATAAGCAGCGTTATTGTTATTGCTTTATTCCCAGGCTCCAAGTAATTTATCCTCACTACTGAATGTAGTTTCAAAGCTGCTCAATTAGATGCCTTATGTTAAGTTCAGGTTTTATTTGTCTTAACCATAAGTTGTGGCTACCTTTGTAGATATATACATTCTAATTCAGCTCCTGTTAAATAAAATTCGAGGAAAGCTCATAAATGGTGTTGAGGGTATATATACAGCTCCACTAGAGTTCATGAATCTGTTCCACTCATTCACATCAATCCTCATAAGGAAATCACTTTAGTAACTGGCATCGGAATTCTTAAAGAATACAAACAATCCTCGTAAAACTCACAATTGAATTCACGTTGACAATGCGGCTTGGCGAGCTTCTGATCAGAGAAGGCAATAGCAATATTGAAAGCAGTGCTGGAGCTAGATGGTTCACTTGCATGTGTTCTTCATGCCCGTCCTTTGAAAATTTTTGTGGCTCTGAAAGACAAAAATGTTGTGTAAGTTCAACTAGAACTCAACAGTTAACTTTCATTTTATTTATACTATTAATAAGAGATACAGCATAATTAGTAAAGTTAAAAAGAAGAAAGCAAATGAAGAGAGAAGTTCAATTAGACATTACGAAACACATCACGAGGAAATCAAACTAGAGTCAACGATGTGTAATAGCCAGCCACTCAACACATATTGTCAACTGAAAGGACAACTTTACACATACTATTATTACTGTACAAACCTCCAATGGAAAATATCCCAGCATTGTTGATTAGAGCATGTAGAGGTCCTGAACGTGCATTCCAAGCTTCAGCAAATCTCACAACAGAACTCAGAGAGAGTAGATCAAGCTCCATAACCTTAGAAGGTGTACAAGTTACTTTTCAGTCGGACTAGTATTAAAGTAGCAAGTTACTTTAGAAGGTTTGAAGCATAACTCAATCGGCACAAAGGAATTCAGCTGTTCATTTCACGGTGTTGAGCTTAATATGACCTTGCTTCCAACCAATAGGCTCAATATGTTAATTAATAAGTACCTCGATATTAAGAGGAAGACCTCTCCCAGACCAATCTTCCTGCCACTTTTTAATCAAGTCATTAGCTGCTTTTGGGTTTCTGACAGCCATCACAACATGCCCGCCTGCTTCAGCCAATTGCCTATCCAGTGAAATAATAATAATAACCACAAAGAATTCACAAACAAACCTAAACAGCAAGGCCAACAGCCATAAACCATTCAAAATACATAATAATCTCATTTCCAAAACTGAATCCTATGCACTTTTATAATCAGATGGTAACCACTAGAAGGTTATGCCTTTGCCTATTAACAACAAGTTTAAGCAAGCTGTTGTGGGATGTTGCGTATGAAAGAAATTGTCCGGAGAAATTCAAGATATATACCCCCAATTAACTCTGATTCTCACAACATGCACAAAAATCCCAATCCATTGAATGAACAGACAAGAAGAAGAAAAAATGTGGATGTACCTGGCAATTTCTTTGCCGATCCCAGAGGTGGAACCGGTGACAACAAAGGTGAGGTCATTAATGGGGGGAAGGGGCATCGGGTTGGGCAAATTGCTGGCGATAATCCTCTGGAACAACATCTCGTACGCCAGACTTAACCACCCCATCAGCCATTCTATCCACCCCAATCCTTCCTTCTTTGCGGGCGGTTTTCCATTGTCTGTCTCCTTTCCCTTCTCCGGCGAAGCCATCTTCACTTGCGGAGATTGTATGAGCTTCTAGGAATTGTATTGTATGTGCTATGCCGAGCTGGAGCTGTGTGTGTGTAGCTGGAGATTCAAACGATTTCAATCCTCGAAACTTTAAGCGTACTTGATTTGCAACCCCAATCCAAGCCGTTGGCTGCAAGATTTGAAAAGGGGATTGAAGCCCCCGAGATAACTTGACACAATTTCAAGGTTGTGCAAAATGGGTTAATTTGTGAATTATTTATGAAAAGCCCAATATCATCACAAAATTCAAACCCCGTAAACCTCCGAGCAAATAATTCCACAAGAAAATAATTCTCATCAAGCGCATATGAAATTTCACAAGCAAAATTGGAAGCCAAGAGCAAATATTTCCACAGGCAAATAATTCTCACCCATATTCGGCCAGATAAAGTAGAGCCGCCGAAGTTGGGTCGCCGGAGGAGGGTCGAGTCGCCGAAACAAAATCGCCGGAGGGAAGAGACCGATAATAAGAGGCTGGATCGTACAGGCCAGATTTGGTAAAAATGAAAGAAACCCCTTTTAAAATTATTTTAAAATAAGAATATTTTATGTTTCAACGAATATTTTGTACTGGAGAGTGGCTGCCAAAATTATTAGGGTGTGATTGTTTACGAATTACACATTAAATATGTCACTCAAAATTCAATTTTAACTTAATTTTATTATTTCCAATATTATTAATATAATTAAATAATATCAACTAATCATTACTTATTACACATCACTCAACTTTAATTCATTATTCATTTA